ATGTAGGAACCGGTATCTGACTATGTAGGAACCGGTATCTGACTATGTAGGAACCGGTATCTGACAATGTAGGAACCGGTATCTGACTATGTAGGAACCGGTATCTATGTAGGAACCTGTATCTGACTATGTAGGAATCGGTATCTGACAATGTAGGAACCGGTATCTGACTATGTAGGAACCGGTATCTGACTATGTAGGAACCGGTATCTGACTATGTAGGAACCGGTATCTGACTATGTAGGAACCGGTATCTGACTATGTAGGAACCGGTATCTGACTATGTAATGTAGGAACCGGTATCTGACCTTGTAGAAAGAGGTATCTGACTATGTAGGAACCGGTATCTGACTATGTAGGAACCGGTATCTGACCATGTAGGAACCGGTATCTGACTATGTAGAAACCGGTATCTGACTATGTAGGAACTGGTATCTGACTATGTAGGACTGGTATCTGACTATGTAGGAACCGGTATCTGACTATGTAGGAACCGGTATCTGACTATGTAGGAACCGGTATCTGACTATGTAGGAACCGGTATCTGACTATGTAGGAACCGGTATCTGACTATGTAGGAACCGGTATCTGACTATGTAGGAACCGGTATCTATGTAGGAACCTGTTTCTGACTATGTAGGAACCGGTATCTGACAATGTAGGAACCGGTATCTATGTAGGAATTTGTATCTGACTATGTAGGAACCGGTATCTGACTATGTAGGAACCGGTATCTGACTATGTAGGAACCGGTATCTGACCATATAGGAACTGGTATCTGACCATGTAGGAACCGGTATCTGACTATGTAGGAACCGGTATCTGACTATGTAGGAACCGGTATCTGACAATGTAGAAACCGGTATCTATGTAGGAACCTGCTATGTAGGAACCGGTATCTGATTATGTAGGAACCGGTATCTGACTATGTATGAACCGGTATCTGACTATGCAGGAACCGGTATCTGACCATGTAGGAACCGGTATCTGACCATGTAGGAACCGGTATCTGACTATGTAGGAACCGGTATCTGACTATGTAGGAACCGGTATCTGACAATGTAGGAACCGGTATCTGACTATGTAGGAACCGGTATCTGACTATGTAGGAACCGGTATCTGACTATGTAGGAACCGGTATCTGACTATGTAAAAACCGGTATCTGACTATGTAGGAACCGGTATCTGACTATGTAGGAACCGGTATCTGACTATGTAGGAACCGGTATCTGACCATGTAGGAACCGGTATCTGACTATGTAGGAACCGGTATCTGACTATGTAGGAACCGGTATCTGACTATGTAGGAACCGGTATCTGACTATGTAGGAACCGGTATCTGACTATGTAGGAACCGGTATCTGACTATGTAGGAACCGGTATTTGACCATGTACGGAACCGGTATCTGACTATGTAGAAAACGGTAGGAACCGGTATCTGACTATGTAGGAACCGGTACCTGACTATGTAGAAACCGGTATCTGACCATGTAGGAACCGGTATCTGACAATGTAGGAACCGGTATCTGACTATGTAGGAACCGGTATCTGACTATGTAGGAACCGGTATCTATGTAGGAACCTGCTATGTAGGAACCGGTATCTGACTATGTAGGAACCGGTATCTGACTATGTAGGAACCGGTATCTGACTATGTAGGAACCGGTATCTGACTATGTAGGAACCGGTATCTATGTAGGAACCTGTATCTGACTATGTAGGAACCGGTATCTGACAATGTAGAAACCGGTATCTATGTAGGAACCTGCTATGTAGGAACCGGTATCTGACAATGTAGGAACCGGTATCTGACTATGTAGGAACCGGTATCTGACTATGTAGGAACCGGTATCTGACTATGTAGGAACCGGTATCTGACTATGTAGGAACCGGTATCTGACCATGTAGAAACTGGTATCTGACTATGTAGGAACCGGTATCTGATTATGTAGGAATCGGTATCTGACTATGTAGGAACCGGTATCTGACTATGTAGAAACCGGTATCTGACTATGTAGGAACTGGTATCTGACTATGTAGGAACCGGTATCTGACTATGTAGGAACCGGTATCTGACTATGTAGGAACCGGTATATGATTATGTAGGAATCGGTATCTGACTATGTAGGAACCGGTATCTGACTATGTAGGAACCGGTATCTGACAATGTAGGAACCGGTATCTGACTATGTAGGAACCGGTATCTATGTAGGAACCGGTATCTGACTATGTAGGAACCGGTATCTATGTAGGAACCGGTATCTGACTATGTAGGAATCGGTATCTGACTATGTAGGAACCGGTATCTGACTATGTAGGAACCGGTATCTGACTATGTAGGAACCGGTATCTATGTAGGAACCGGTATCTGACTATGTAGGAACCGGTATCTGAAGGAACCGGTATCTGATGTAGGAACCGGTATCTGACTATGTAGGAACCGGTATCTGACTATGTAGGAACTGGTATCTGACTATGAAGGAACCGGTATCTGACTATATAGGAACCGGTATCTGACTATGTAGGAACCGGTATCTGACTATGTAGGAACCGGTATCTGACTATGTAGGAACCGGTATCTGATTATGTATGAACCGGTATCTGACTATGTATGAACCGGTATCTGACTATGTAGGAACCGGTATCTGACTATGTAGGAACCGGTATCTGACTATGTAGGAACCGGTATCTGACTATGTAGGAACCGGTATCTGACTATGCAGGAACTGGTATCTCACCATGAAGGAACCGGTATCTGACTATGTAGGAACCGGTATCTGACTATGTAGGAACTGGTATCTGACTATGTAATGTAGGAACCGGTATCTGACTATGTAGGAACCGGTATCTGACCATGTAGAAAGCGGTATCTGACTATATAGGAACCGGTATCTGACCATATAGGAACCGGAATCTGACTATGTAGGAACCGGTATCTGACTATGCAGGAACAGGTATATCACCATGAAGGAACCGGTATCTGACTATGTAGGAACCGGTATCTGACCATGAAGGAACTGGTATCTCACTATGTAATGTAGGAACCGGTATCTGACTATGTAGGGACTAGTATCTGACCATGTAGGAACCGGTATCTGACTATGTAGGAACCGGTATCTGACTATGTAGGAACCGGTATCTGACTATGTAGGAACCAGTATCTGACTATGTAGGAACCGGTATCTGAATATGTAGGAACCGGTATCTGACTATGTAGGAACCGGTATCTGACTATGTATGAACCGGTATCTGACTATGTAGGAACCGGTATCTGACTATGTAGGAACCGGTATCTGACTATGTAGGAACCGGTATCTGACTATGTAGGAACCGGTATCTGACTATGTAGGAACCGGTATCTGACTATGCAGGAAATGGTATCTCACCTTGAAGGAACCGGTATCTGACCATGTAGGAACCGGTATCTGACTATGTAGGAACCGGTATCTGACTATGTAGGAACCGGTATCTGACTATGTAGGAACCGGTATCTGACTATGTAGGAACCGGTATCTGACTATGTAGGAACCGGTATCTGACTATGTAGGAAACGGTACCTGACTATGTAGAAACCGGTATCTGACCATGTAGGAACCGGTATCTGACAATGTAGAAACCGGTATCTATGTAGGAACCTGCTATGTAGGAACCGGTATCTGACTATGTAGGAACCGGTATCTGACCATGTAGGAACCGGTATCTCACCATGTAGGAACCGGTATCTGACTATGTAGGAACCGGTTTCTGACCATAACATTGATGTGATAAAACTACATCGCGCTTTCAATTCTTAAATTTGCTTGCGAGGCTAATTCAAACAATGCTATGCACCGATTCTCTTTTGTTTGAAATCGTTTTTATAATTATTTATTGAATTTACATTTAATAGTTTTTAATTACCGTATGAGTAGGAATTATAACTTGTTTCCCGCTAACGAACGCTTCTTTGGGTCCATGAGATTAAAAACAGTTATTTACTTGTACTTAATAAAAGCACATTTCACCTTTTGCTTGGCGTCTGTATACCTTAATCAGTCTACTACAGTTTACTAATGTTATTCAACGTCATGGTACGCTTCACACACTTTAGTCGGTAATTGGATTTTAGCAATTTAATAAAAACATCGCATCAAAACATACTAAAAAAATCATGAAATATAAATTTGAACTCATTTTATGTTCTTTCATCATAACATGATGTCAATTTACATAAATATGTAATTATACATAATAAATCAAAATCCAGTATTGCATGTGACCTAAATGTGTAAACAGTATTGTTTACTAAATATATTAGATGAATTAGAGAAGCAATCCATCAGGATTTTACGTCTATACTGCGAACATGTTCGATTACACAATTATTGTCGACTGATTATAAATCAATAGAACGAATACAAAACATTTAAATATAGATCAAAGTCTTCTTTTTTTGAATAGATAGCACAAAATACACACAAGTGAATAACGGTTTTTAATACAACTTTAGAATTAGATAATGTAGAATCAAACAACGAATTAGACTTCACCATGTAGCTGTTCAGTCCTTCTAGTACTCGTCAGTGATGCTAAGAGCTTAGAGTTTAAAGTCTGGTAGGCGACTGTGGAAATCCAAATTTTTAAAAATGTTATTGCTCAATGAATATTAAAGTATGACTAGAATCAAGGGATTGTGGAATTAACGCATGCTTGTGAATGTCACTTCAATAATTAGGTGAAAATCGTTCGGCACTCTTGTATATTAGATAACAAATAAGGGTATAAACCATATTTTATCTTCCAATAGCAAGATAATCTGTTTTACTGATTGAATTGCTTCACGCGATCCGGATGTTAAAGAAATTGTCGGGAAATTCCAAAATATCATAAAGCTGTTTGGCTACCGATAAATCAATGGACAGAGAGCTGTGCGAATGTAATACATGTCTCCTGTTGTTAAGTGTGTACCTATGTTCTATATGAGCATATTTTTTGTGTGTTGCAAATACCCGTGAACTTACGAGTTCTCCAATATGATAGGTGGTCGCCATATTGTGTCCTCATCTGAGTATATAGCATGAATATCAGAATTATATGTGGGGTTAATACTCCAGTCCAGCCGTGCGTCACTCCATGTCTACAAACATAAAACGGTTACCAAATGTTCACAGCGAGGTCGACAAGACAATATAATATATCAACGAAGTCATAACTCAAAGTGATGATACCATGGCAAACTATAAAGAAATAAATATTGAACTGGAACCCGTGATATAAAAAAAAAGAATAGGACCATGTGTTACGAAAGATTAAGCGCCTTCTGCTCCAAGGGCGACATTTTCCTAGATACTTAGATCAAACAATGAAATGATATCATGTTCTTCAAATGAGCACAGCACCGCCAGTGATACTACCGTTACTGACATTAAACACATCAAACATCATATCTGTCATAGGAATTTCCAATTTCCACATAACCTTAATATAACGTCTATAAAACAAACTCTTTTCATCGGCCTGCATCTCTTGATACCACGTGTTACAAGGTTTTGTTAGTTTACAGTTGACACCCAATACAGAAATAGTAACAAGTCTGTTATAATCACCATCTATATATTGTAGGTTGGAAAATCTGTGGGGTTAATTTTAGTGTGGGATTGAAAAGCATTGGGGTTATATATATATCGGCGAAATATTAATATTTGAGAAATGGAGATACTGCTCAGGTGGTTTTGATGTGTTTGTGTCTTAGGTTGATATCAGAAATCTGTGCAAGTTGTCTATTACTATTATTTCAATATGACCCGAATCCCTTTGACACTGGACATGACGGAAATAGCACCAAACAGGTATATGAAATTTTGATAATTGTACTCATCATTTTTTTAACAAATAGTTAACTGATGTCAGCAAAAATATTAATTCTTGCGTATTATTACTGGCCATGTATGATTCCATTTTCAACAGATTGTTTCAACAAGAATCTGAAACACATCCAGCCGATTAAGCATTGCTGTAATAAAGTTACATACACTGGATACATGGTTTGCCATGTGATGATTTCCTGACAGTATACAGCATAAAGCAAACAAGGAAAATATTGGAATACTATTGAGGTGATAATAGGATATATTGATACCTAATTGATAAATAGATATTGATAGAACATCCACATCTGGGTCGTCCCAAGTCGTGAAATTCAAACAACAATGACGAAGATTCGAAGTGATTTCTTATCAATATTCATCACCCTTTATACATCTAATTGAATTGGATTACTCGCAGTATATAACAAAAACAGTTTTTTCAGTTTTAATCATTGCGTACAATGATAATAGATTCATAGTTTTCTTTGCGATAAAAAAAGAAACGATTACTTGACTTTTGTTCTCAACATCCCTTAGGAGCCATGAATGCTATAACAACGATGTACTTGCACTTAACACGTATTTGGTCTTTCGCCCTGTGTCTGTATCGTTTGAACCAGTCTATATGTACTAATGAAGTGCAGTTTCACGGCACACTTCACACGCTTTTCATTGGAAAATGGATTTTAATAAGTTGAAAAAGCTATCCCATCACAAACCGACTTTTCAATTAAAAACATTTTATGGAGTATTAATCATACATTCCGTCAGATTGAATTAATTGATCATCATCAGATTATCTATAGTCTGTAAGTAATGAATTAAAAGTGTACGTAGCTCTAACAGTAATAGATCCTTAATACATTAGATACATTAACATCAGCTTTGTCTGCCCTGTAGAGCTAAGTAAATATTTTAACAATAATCTTTCATGCCTGGTGGATATCTGGTGATGTGGTTATATCATCTTAAGGAAAAAAACAAAAACAAAAAACAATCCCCAATTCCTAAAAAAAAAAAAAACAAATCCCCCATCCCTAAAAAAAAAAAAAAAAAGAACCCACCCCCCCCCCCGAACCCCCCCCCCCCCCCCCCCCCCCCAAAAAAAAAAAAAAAAAAAACCCAGAAAATCCACACTCATAAAAGATGAACTAATGCCGTGTTAAAGAAGAGAGGATTTATGACATAGACAGTAGTTCCGAAAGTGATTCTGGTTCATCAACGGCGCCAATTTTCTAAATCTCCCTTATCAGAAAGTTCGTATAATGTTGAATAAGAATAAGAAAACCAATAATATAACTTGTCAGATACTCATAATTCAAACTGAAAATCAGCTGAGGTTTGAACTCAAAGACAAGACATCGCCAATTCGTCATACACTGTGATTGAAAGCAAGAACAGGTCGGCCACGAGACAAGCAGTTTGTTACCATAGATACGTGTATACCAAACAGATAGACAATAGTTTGTGGGAAGATCTCACCATAAAACTTAACGATTTTCACGAATCCATTTTCGGTATATTTCTTCTTGCCTTAAGGCAAACATTTTTTAAAAATAATGTAGTTTTACGGGTATTTACTTAACATATCTCTGTAATAACTGTCATTTATAACTGATAGCCAGAGTCAATTAAGGATCTCATTCAATTACTGATAATATGATCGTGACTGGTCTATGACAGTTTATGAGTATAATAAAACAGCTTTATAGCTTATGGTTGGTTCACTAAATCCTCTTGGTTAAGTAGGAAATCACTGTATTGGGTCAATAACACGTGTACAGTATGATATCAATCGTAGCCTCGCCAAAAAATTCAAAACATTTATCTAGACCGGATCAATACGCATTATAAGTTAGAACATACCTCATTATCAATTTATCATTTTAACCTTCTAGTGCAGTTTTCGTAGTTGTTAAGCTGTAGAATGATATTGTCTTCATACGATACAGATGTAGGAAATACAACAGGTATATTTTGTTTGTTCCGTTCTCATCAGGTCAGATGACATTAGTTACCCATTAAGCTCTGTATTGCTGTAACTTACCAAGCTGAAGTAACCTGTCGTTGTCAAGGCCTGGTTGCGGACATCCTGATCAAGGAAAAATAAACTATTCAATCTATCAAGTTCCACGTCAATATTTATTTTTATCGTGAATGATATACATGTTAATAGTGAACAATTTGATGACTTGTTTCTAAGTACGAAGCAGTCTAAATCTAAACACAGCTGTAACTTTAAACTATCTCATCACTTAATACTACACATATTATCCCAACAACACTATTCTACTCACTACTTGTTCTTATAAACTCGGTGACTGAGATTCAGAAAAATATCATTATATCTGACTGGATCAGTACCACTCCTCCAATCCTTCTTTCCTCAAACATCCAATCTCCATTTTGATTTGAACATCAGTACCACTCCCTCAATCCTCTTTCCTCAAACATCCAATCTCCATTTTGATTTGAACATCAGTACCACTCCCTCAATCCTCTTTCCTTAAACATCCAATCTCCATTTTGATTTGAACATCAGTACCACTCCCTCAATCCTTCTTTCACCAAACATCCAATCTCCATTTTGATTTGAACATCAGTACCACTCCCCTCAATCCTTCTTTCCTCAAACATCCAATCTCCATTTTGATTTGAACATCAGTACCACTCCCTCAATCCTCTTTCCTTAAACATCCAATCTCCATTTTGATTTGAACATCAGTACCACTCCCTCAATTTGAACATCTCTTTCCTCAAACATCCAATCTCCATTTTGATTTGAACATCAGTACCACTCCCTCAATCCTTCTTTCACCAAACATCCAATCTCCATTTTGATTTGAACATCAGTACCACTCCCCTTATCCTCTTCCCTAAAACATCCAATCTTTTGATTTGAACACCCATACCACTCCACAAATCCCTTTTTTACCAAACATCCAATCTTTTGATTTGAACACCCATACCACTCCACAAATCCTTTTTTTACCAAACATCCAATCTTTTGATTTGAACATCATGGTATCGTTATATTTACCGAGGACTTAATTGTGTCAACATAGAGACAATAATAACTGACGTCATCACCATTAATTCAGTAAATCTGGCTATGTATCTCTAAAGTATTTAGGGTTATAGATAATCTATTTCCCATCAATGTGATATAGAAAACTGATTGTTATTAATCTGATATTGTTATTGATTTCAATAATGTCTGATCTCGGCAATACTATCTCGATGATTGATGCCTTTAAATCGATACAGTATTTTAACCCTTTAATGCTATACTCACCAGGGAGTTGAACGTGATTATGTTTAGGGTGATGTTAACCACTACTGTAGAGGCTGGTCTGGCTTGGATCTGGTAGGCATTCGTAGTAAAAATTAAAGTCCGAAGGTTGTTCTCCGCCATATATGTATACATTGCTTTGACATCCTGTAATCCTGTAATATGAATAGATAAGTAGGGAGGTCGGACAAGCAAGAGAATATCCTTTTTATATTAATTGTGATAAAAACACAGATTATAGCTCCATCTGTATAACGAATACTGGATGTTGTTTTCGAGGATAAAGTGGTTCACTCACTACACCGCTAGATAGCATCAACTTTACACCTCAATAGCAATTTCACTACAAGAAAATAAATAGATCATACTAATTCTCTTGATTTGTTTTATGAAAATACAATGTTAATAAATTGATCGGCGTTGGAAATTTCAGGAATTACTACAAAGGATTTCAGCACATAGAAAATAATACGGTTTTAATTATCTAATATATATAAAAACGATGCAATCAAATTACAATTCCTTTTTCGAGAACAAAATTAATTTGATTATTATGTTTACAATGACCAAAAACATCCGTCAGCTGTTGGCTCATTCATCTTAACAGGTTTGTTACTTTGATTTCATCAATATTGATTTGGGTAGTGGAAAGAGTTTACGTTCCGTATTTGTAGGTTAAGCTACTTGAAAGAGCAATATTTGTGGTTCTTATCAAAGCAATTATATTAAATTCTTAACTTGAAACCCGCGAAGAGTTTTAACAATAGGAATGGTTAAATTGGTATGATTAAATGCTATAAAAACAACTCTCAGGAACTCGCACGTGACAAAAACTGGTATTTAACCATCCAGACACTGTGTTGAATACATGAAGGAAAAATTTGCACCATAATTTTACCTCTCATGTAAAGAAATATTTTGATAATGAATGAAAGTTGTACTAGAAATACGTGCACTGATTAGGCAGCAAACACAACATTTTCATCTGCAAAATCACTCTTGTTTCTCGAGGAAAATATCACTTGTTCGTTAGGTTACCTCAATCATTTTATCTGATCAGATTTGGAATCGAAACTCTAGGTCACAGACGAGAAGGAGTCATGTCATGTTTTGGTGTAAAATGTAACAAAACAATATATTCATGAAAAACCGATTCTAGCAATGCTGTCAGAATGAGAAATCCATCTTGAACAATTCATTGTATGATAAAAAACGGAGTCTAACATCAAAAGTCATGGCTGCTGCAACAGAAAGTCTCGCCATTATCCTGGTGATATCTGTCTAGAGCGTTTCAGTGTATCCCCAACTAACACTATCGATCAGGCATGCCCTACAAAATGTGAAAGTTTTGATATGCATATAGCAATCTGTCCACATTAAATTTATCCGCCAATCGTTTTTAGAATCAGATTCTAACGGTTAATTAGATCAGAGGGACCTTTTTCCCAAACAACTAGAATGTTATACAAAATAAGACTGAAATTGTGGGTGGTGAAAATCGTGTCATGACGAGCATTTCCGTGACAGTCTCATAATTGCGATTATCTTAGGAGCGTGGTTTAATCAATTTCAAACAACCTGTCATGAACGAAATTTGCAACTGCATTCAATTGGAAATGAGAATGAGATCTTATCATGGTATCAAGTAATTTGTTATGTGTAATCACACCAATATATTTAAATCTAATTCAACATGAATGAAAAATTGTATCTAAATTTTTAAAACCTAGCAAGTATGATAATATATAAATTTAAAGTGATAGAAAGTTTCCTATTACACAGGAGAAAAAATAAGCATATGCTAAACTATTCATCTTAAATATTTCTAGTATTTATGCGCCTTGAATTATAGATCCTGTTGAAGCTCAAGTTATCGAGGACGATTTAAGTCTCGGTCTGCAGAGCTATCGACAGCTATATGGAATTCTATTTTATTCGTAGTCCCTACCTAAACTGAAAAGTCACACAAACGGATAACTAACATCGAAAGTTCTTGTGTTCTAAAATGTTAAATAGAATGATTTTAACAACGTCTGACGCTTGGAATAATATAGTGTTGAGTACACATGCTTACTCTTACGTTTATATAGCATTATAGAACCATACTACGAAGAGTACAGACTTGTTTTGTTAAATGTGACATTGTGATCTTGAAATGTATAAATCTTTCATCATTTTACGTTGGTTTATATGACTAGATCTAACATCACTTTTGAGATAAGAAAACCAATCTCCATATTTTCTTCTCATTATGTATTCGATGGGTATCACAACTGTATTACATATTCCTTTTCAATTACAAAAATGCCTTGTATCCTTGGCAATGAATATTTACTATCAAGCTATCAATCCTACAGACAGCTGTGTGATCCTTTAGTAAGGTTAATACGTATACATTAAAATCAACTCAATATATTCACAATGTTTATCAAAGAGATATATGTGAAATCAGTCGTGACTAGAATATCATTCTTTTGTAAGAAAGTGTCACGATATCCGAGATCAATACAAGGGTGCTTAGTACTCGACATGGAGGGTTAAAAGGACAGAATACATACATACTGGATAGATAGTGTCAAACAAAAGGAAAATAAAAAAAAGTAAACACTGTATTGAAAAAAATAAATTTGGTGTATTGATGACATTTTCATGTTCTTCGAAGACAGCATAATCGTAATGATGATCGGTATCAATGACTTCAACAGAGATATAATGGTAACAGCGAGGGATCTCCACTAAAGGAAAGCTGTTACAGAGTGTTTACATGTAAACATGGTTATACTGGGTTTGATGGATATTGGTTGTAAAAAGTGGCAAATATATAAAAAGTGTTAAGTAGTTGAAAGTAGAATATCTCATATACACAACCACGTAAAACTATCAATGAAATGTTATTGCTATTTGAAGTTTTTTGCCGATTTTTTTTGGCACCCACCTTGTATGTCTAATTACCAATTTCCAATGACTCCGAAAATGCATCCTTGATGAAAACTCTGGTTTCAAGAAGTCCGTAAAATTTGGGCCAGAATAAGAACAAGAAAATGCCAACATGTCAACGTAATCATAATCCAAACACACATTCAAAACAGTACGAGGAGAATAAGACTAGGTGTTCCGGAAGAGTAAGCGTCTTCTGCTTCACCGATGTCACCAGCCATGCTAATCTTTGTCAATTTAAGTACATATTTCACGTTCTTAAATGAGTAAAAGGTAAACAACAACGGAGCCAACAGGCAAACTAACAAGCATTAAACACCTCCGCTTGATATCGCAAAAGGAAAAAAGAATTTTTCTAAATGAGAATACAGTGACGACCGTAAAACGGTTCCATAATTTTCATTCACCTGCATCTTTTGAAACCCTGTGTTACGAGTTCGTCAGTCAATCAACGACTTCTTGCGCGGAGATAACAGGATCGAATTAAATTGAAACAACAACAAAGTATTTACACCATAGTTTGGGGATGCAAGGAAGTTGCTATCCAGAAATGGAAAACTCACTACAAGAAAATATCACGAGTACTCTATTCATACGGAAGTTGTTAGTAGTACACTAATTAGACTTTTGAAGGCCGATGTTTCCTTTACCGGTACCCCGCTATAATGGTTATATAGTTGTCTCTGGAGTATTCGATGTACAAGTCTGATTTCATGAAATAACTCATATTTATATTCAAAGGGTAGATCAATCAAGCTTTATTTACAGAACTGACAAAAGTTACGTTGTATTTTTTTTTACTGGGAGGATGGCAAACATTCTTTTATTGAATGTAATGTGTTGTATTGATGTCACCCAGTGGACAATGAAGATGGTGTGTTATATTGACGTGGTCCAGCACTGACAGCGCTAATCAATACCACATCACTAAATTTGTTGACCAATCCTTTCAAATCTTATTTATCTATTAATTATTGTATATGTCCGGTGTCCATTGAGTTGACTTTGTCCTGTAATGCTTGGTAATGGTACTGTTAATTAGATATTCAATATCCCGTTCAACATTACTTTAAAACTTTTCAATCGATCATTATTCTTTAAGATAAATGGTAACCTGATGTTAATAAAATCCACACTAAAACACAATCGCACGAATTGTCAAGCAATGATTTCAATGTCAATCAAAGTATATATTCTATTGGATATTGAAATCATTTAAACTTAAATGTGGTCACTGGAATTTTGTGTATTTTAAATAACATGAAAAATAAAAATTATGAAAAAGTTAAAAATGTTTTTTCCTCCTAGGTTTAGTTTAAACATATTTATTGTAAAAGTTAGACAGGGGATTATGCACAAGTTATCTTAACTGATCAACGCCCACTTCCAATATACATTTTAACTGACATTACAATACTTACAATACAAATATACAGTTATCGTTACAATTTCTAAATCAAGACCAACAAGAAGGAACTCGGTAACAGTGAAACACTTTCACGGTTTCATCGTTTGGTGAATGTAAATATATTTGACATTACTGTGAAAATTGCTCAAAGAAAATACATTAACACGTATGAGGTTATCAATAAATAATTTATAATTGATTCTTGAAATTTGATCACTGGTAAGATTTTCTTATTATTTACATTCTCCTTCCTAACCATTTAAGTCGATAGATCCTTCTATATTTCCATTATCTATTAACAGTAATGTAAAGAATTAGTAAATTTTGATGGTCTGCTGTTCACATGGAAACTGACCAGAAGGTAAGCTTAATTGTAGTCGCCATTAGTTACAGAAACAACACAGAAAAATCGACATAAGGATAGGAAAGTCTAATTCGATATAACCAAGGCAAAACATGAGAAATAGATTTATAGAGTGTATATCACAAGGATTTATAGAATCTTTCACCTCTGTGTTTTGTAGACAGGGATATCCCAAACCTCGAGATATCCAGACCTCGAGATATCCCAAACCTCGAGATATCCCAAACATCGGGATATTTGTTTCAAAGTAGGAAACTCTAATTCGATATAATCAAGGCAAAACATGAGCAAAAGGTATAAACATATGAAGTATATAAATGCTGTAAGGTAAGAGGAATTTAGACATATCTGTCTTGTAGACTTTGTACATGTATATGGTATTTCTATTCTTACTCAAGTTGCCGATTCATTATT